TGATTGGTTTTCTCCATTCCATCAATAGTATGAGTTTTTTTTTTTTTTTTTTTTTGGTTTTTTTTACACGATTTCTGTTTCAACCGTTTTTATAAACTCACATCGATATGGAATGTTATTGGGGCATTTAGATTTGCTGCTTCCATCAAATATATTCGTCAGAACAGTTTTCATATAACGCCAAACAAACTGCATATGTTAACACATAGAAGACTTCAGTCCTCCGTCTTCTTCCGATTGCCTAGCCAGAGATATTCATTGTTTGGATCCTTAAAATTTCTGAAACATTTCATATATTTACATCCGCAAATATTACTAGAATTTTCGGCTATTTAGCCATTTTTTCCTGCAAAAAGTGATCGTCGCTCGTAATAGGGTAGGTCTACCGAGGGTTTTATTATTTTATGAATTTCCAAAAAAAAAAGCATAAATTCTAGCAATGTTCATAATATTATGCAAATTTTTCAGGCTTACAATGAGAACATTTGGAATTGTTACAGTTTTGTTATGGATTTTCTTCAGTATGCAGATTTGTTGGAGCGAAATATTGGTGCCGCGGATGAGCTAATTTCGAGTCATGTTTGTAAAGCATTACAACGAATGTTTCGATATTTCAGCTTGTTGAATTGCCTGTCTGGATTTTCTTCATCTTCATGTTTCATTTTGGCATAGCTTGAACGGCTCGGTTACGACTTCTTTTTTTATGTTTCTTCTTTTTTTTCGGAAAAATGTTCGTGTGGCTTCACCAAAACAAGAATATTTGAGAATATTATTGCCACCCAGTAAGCTTTTTCTGCAATTTTTAACTACCATGCAGCAAATTTGCTGTCTGCCTGCAAAATGGCTTATTGTGATGAACGATTGCAGTCCTGGCATGTCCCAGAAATTGGCATGCTGCCCATTCTTATCGCCAAGGGTGCTTACACGTACTCAAAATTATGGGACTTGTCCAAAATTTGATGAACAGAAGAGCGGAAACTGATTGTAGTAGCTGTACTGCTTGAAACGAATTCATTGATTACTGTTGGCATTTCCAGTTTTAATTGGCATTAAGCCAAAAATTAAGTTAGAAAATATTTCTGATAGAAATGGACGAGTAATAGCTATAGGTAAACAGCATACATACATACATACGTACA